CGTAGCTCAGTTGGAAGAGCATTGAGCTAGTATTCCAAAGGTCGTAGGTTCGAATCCCACCGTGGCCGGGCATATTTTTCAAGCTCGCCCGGTGTGGATATACACTCAGAGTAACACCACAAATATCATATTCACCTGAGTACACTACACCAACACAGAAAAAATTCATAAACCATATTATTACTAAATTATGTTACTAGGATTGCAACATGGGTTCTTTTCAAGTTTTTTGGTAAGATTATGTCCAGCATCCATGTACATCAAGGACAGATTGCGATGCTTCATGAAGCCTCAAAGGTAGGCAACTGGACCAATAAACAGTCTGTGTTTTTAATATAAGCCTGTTTTTTTTCCCGTTTTCCACTTCAAGCATATTGTAGCTTATTGTATATAGACTTTCTGTTATATCAACGTCATTACATCAACCCTATATAACAATAAACAAACGAAGAAGCAAGCTGCAGTGGGTTTCGGCACAATAAGATAGAAGTGGAAAACATTATTTAGCCTTTTAATACATACGTTAGATGAACTTTTTTGCCAGGTTGCTAAAGCATGATTCTGTCTGGGTCTCTGTAATTACTTTACAAGTGTCAAATACGAAGTATGCATCTTTCTAGGAACAACAGATATGTCAGCTTACTAAAAACATTTAAACGTTTCTATAGAGAAACCTTCCGTTGGTGTATTTACCGTTGCACAAAAGTCATGTGGATTATATGTTTATTTCTTTTGTGTTGAGCTGGTATGGCCTCAAGGTATGTTATTCTCTGTATAGTAGAGAGCGGCTTATAGTTGATATTTTTTAATTTCAAGTTTTTTTTTTGTTTATAGGTTCCCTACATAGCCGCTGGAGGTAGGTCACATGTCATGCAATACATATGATAGACAAATAGAAGAATATTTTTTATCCAGATTGCAAAGTTTTCAAAATATGCTGGAGAGCTGAAATTTTGGCTATAACATTTTATGCATGCATCTTCATTTTCCTTCTACATAATTTCCAGTGTTTGTATACTTATGTACAGTACTTCTCAATAATAATCATACTTTATTTCTTTCATAGATAACTTGAAAGACATTCCATTATTCAGGTAAGTATATTTTTCAAATTTTAGTAATTATTGTTTATAATGGCAACCCTAAGACAAAAGGCTTTACTGTTTATTCACTTTTGCCCCAATGATTTCGTTTTGATGTTTGTCTGTTTGAGCATGGCAAGCAAACATGTACGTTATATCCCCATGTTCCGTTCTCGAAAAAATTGTGCTCGAATTTGCTCCTCTTTGACCTTGAGCCCAATCACCTGCCTGGTCTTCACTGTATTGTGCACAAAACTTAAGAAAATAGCTGCAGTATGTATATTATATATGAAAACGAGGCCATTGGGGCAATGAACAGTAGTAAGTACAGCCAATTTCTTGATTGTTTTATTTAGTTGGTTAATGAGAAACATGGGTGGATTTTTCATCCGAAGAAAACTTGGTGGCTTTACTCCACAAAATGAACTGTACAGAGCTGTCATGAACGAAGTGTGTTATTGTATATAATATTATCGTCTTAGCGTGTGTTAGCTAGCTCAATAATTATAAATTCCAAGGACTCTAACAGTACAATTATACTAATTGCGTGTTAAATCCATATAACCACAGTATAATATTTTGCATCAATTTTCGTTCACACTTCTTGGTACAACCAAAAGTTTTTATTTTGTAGTATATTGCTCAAATTTTGATGTCTGGCAACAACCTTGAAATATTCATTGGTTAGTATGTATTATCGTATTTTCTGTACTTGTGAATAGAGTACAGTACGGAACAAAAATTCCAACTTGAAACTTCCACACATAGATTTCAGGCTAATAATGCTTAAAGTTTGTTTATTCGTGTTCTTTCAATGCTGCCTGGCATGTATAACATGTGATATTTTACAAACATTCTTTAGAGGGAACAAGGTCGCGCTCAGGGAAAAGTTACCCGCCAAAGATTGGAGTTCTTTCATCAGTAATTTTAGCCATCAAGGAAGGTACTGTATTATCAACGAACCAACAACACTGCTTAGGGGCCAGCCATTAAAGTAATGTTATTTCTATTGTATAGGTCGTGTTTCTGACGTTTTGATCGTTCCTGTTAATATCTCGTATGAAAAAGTATGTGGAGTTTATATGCATCAGGGGCCAGTTGTTCAAAACTGGATTAGCTTAACCCTAGGTTAGCCTGAAATTCAAAGCAAACTTTCTAACAGCTTGTTTATAAATTTGGAAATATTTCTTCAGAGACCTTGTCTGGATCAGTAGCAGTTTTCTTCTCTGAAGTTTTGAAATAAACAGACGTGTAGAGATACACAAACTAAAACAGCAGGTTAAATTTTAACCCAGGGTTAGTGCTAATCCAACTTTGAACAAACCGGTTCCATGCAGTATATTTTAGATGCCTTTGTGTATGGAGATGAATTTTTATGCAGGGCGAATTTCGTTTCACAGTTACCGGGTATTGATGTCATGGGAAGAATTTTAGCAGCAAAATATCCCGGGAAAACGCATGCGCAATTGTAGTTTATCATGCATAACATTATGTATGAGGTTTTTAACTTAGAATAACCCGAAATGAAATATCACGCATACGATCACCAAAGGCAGTTTGCGTTAAGTCAAACAATTTTTTTTTTAACATTGTAGATATTGGAAACTGGTTATACAGACGAACTGATGGTAAGCCAATGTACTAAATTCTCAGTGCACTGTATACAATAGTTAAAATGGAAGAAAGGGTACCTTCTCCGCAGGCCTTTCAAAAATATAGGGAGGCGAAAAGCCGAAAATTGGTGGGAAGCGAACGGCTACACAAGCCTTCGTCTCAGACTTCAGATTTTAACCTGCGAACGGGCATACTCATTACGGGCTGTATGGCCTGCGGAGAGGTAGGGCTGTTCAGGTATTTTTTGGTGGAGCTCAGCTGGAAGCACTCCTCTCAGACTGAGGCAAAAAGACAACTGCAGGAATTGAACTTGACTGAAGAACATGTTTATCAGCGTCGTAACGATGCTTCCATATAAGCATAGGCGTATGGGGCTGATGCTTTCCGGGGGGAGGGGGCTGTTGAAAGTCTGCCCGAATTGTTACGGCTGATTGTAATTAAGTAACCTGAATTTAACAGTATCTTTTTTAACAGTATATTTTTTCTAGCATTTGCCCGAATTTCCATTGTTTTCTAACTTTTTTGGGGTGGGGACTGTCAAATGTCTGGGTACAAGACTGCACTTTGCCTCCGACATTCTTTTAACCACATTGTCTTTGATGGACAGGGAAAGCCGAAAATACCAGAGTCATTCTTTCAAACTTTGAAAAACGTTTGGAGGATATTTAGAAGTCACTTTGGGCAAGTTCGTGTGGATTTCGGGTTGCCATTCTCGCTTACGGTAGGATTCTATATGCTCATTATTTTAGAGTTTAATATTCCTAAGAAGCTTTGAAAAACAATTACTATTCTAATTTTCTTGCAGGAAATCACACATAGCTCAGAAAGCTCGGAGTCCTGGCAAACATTTCTGAAAACCACAACGCTAAATTCAAACCAACTGTTGACACAAGGTTCTGTCATGTCAGATATATCACTTGAATCTTTGGACGCCTCTACGACAGCATTAACAAAAGGAATTGCCCATCATGTGATTTATGGTAAGAGCTATTTAAACAAAGAGCGAAAATCTATTCCAAAGTGGCGCCGGGACAGAACCAGATATAATTTATAATGGATTAAATTACGGATGTCCAAAAAACTGGGGGACGGGTCCCCCATAGGATTGATGCCTTTGATTCAGAGGCAAGTAATTAACTAATTTTATTCCATACATAAAACATAGACAAGGTTTATAACTTTCAGTCAGCGCTTTCCTTCATTGGTTCAGTGTTATTTCCAGGAAAAAACATGGGAAAAGCAGATTAGCAGAGAACTAGGACAAAATTTTCTGTGTTTGGAAAAGTCAAACTGGAACTCTTTTCTCCTAAGGGGTTCGGGGCCCGGTCAAACGAGGATGAGAGTTGGCAGTCACGTGTTATTGCGGGGGATATTTCAAGCTCTAGATTAACAAATTAAGGTTTAATGTATGAGTGTTCCAACCCCAATATGTTTTAACTTAATAAAGCATTAAGAACAGCTAACCAAGGTCACGTGACAGCCAACTTTCATACTGTACACCCTCAACCTTGTTTGATCCGCGCTTTAGACAAATTATAATTTGAAGAAATTTTACTCGCTTGGTAATATTATTTCGTGTTTAAATTTTCTAGAATGTATTCAGAATTCCACCATTATGGGTACAAACATGGTTGCTTTTCTTTTACTGACAAAGTTTAGAAAGGTATAATGGTTGCATGTCATATGCTCTTCATGGCCTTGATACAGGCCTACATTTTGTTAGTTGTTGGAAAGCTTTTAAGCCATTCTTTTCAACTTGTTTCCAGGGTGTTGAACTGAATGAATTTGCAAATGCATTTGAGTTGCTAAAGAAAGATATTCTGATGCACAAGAGGTAAATATTGTTCAAACGATTTTAATAATAGATTGAACCCACTGATGATTGAGCCTGTGATAAAGGTGTCATATTGAATGTTATATAGAGCCTCATCAGTGCTAATAATATGTCATATTATTAGGCTATTGGCACTGATGAAGATCCGAGCTTATACGGATCGAAAGCTTTGCAGTAATAAATTTACGTGGTGTTTCCACAAACAAAAAATATTATATGATCAGTGTATATTCCTAAATTAATATTGCTTACATTTCTAATCATATTTATGGGTTATTTTTCCAGGGACTATGGCTTCAGTGGGGCTAATGGAGACGTAATGCTACACGCGATTGAACTTCTTGGAAAAGACTTAGTTTCTTGGGATCCGGAATCGCGTATTATTAAACCAATTCTCTCGTTACCAGGTCTTTTGGAGCTCTCGTATTACAGCAATCAGGTTAGTTACTACTAAGCTTAGTTACTATCACTGGACCGGTTATTTCGTATTATGAATGACGAAGTTAACTCTAAAGAATAATCTTAGCAAAATTGTTCTTATTCAACCATTATATAAGATCAAAACATTTTCTTCGAATATTAAGTGGGATTGCTTCCTACTGTACATGTACTTTTGCGCAGGAAATTTTTTCCTAACCAAATCTAATTGATGAATTATTAATTAGTTTATTGATTTAACACGTGACTTATAGTCTTGTAGAGAGTTTCTTTACTAAACCATTTTACGTTCAATGTATATGTACTTCGTTCTTTTGTTTCTTTACAATCAGGTGCTATCTGTGTTTGTACTTGAGTCGGTTGTTGGTAAGCAGAGACATTAAGATTCACGTTTACAGCAGAGCGGGTAATAACGGTTGAGTCTTCACGTTGAGTACCAGGCCTCGAATTTCCCTGAAATCAATCGACGGCAATGGCGTTACAAATTGCCGTAGAACGTAACAGCTGTCTACGGCAATTTTGGCAGTTTCCACGGCATTTTTTCAAATTACTGTAATAAATATTTGATTTTATTTGTTACTTTGGATTGCTGACAAGCTAGAAACATGTTCACGTATTTCTTTAGTGTTTTTTTTTCTCGAAGAAAACTAAAATAGTAGTTTACGCATGATTTGATCGACATCTGAATTCAAGTGTCAAAATAGTAATGCACAGTGAATAGTATAAAAATTACTCTATACTAATACGGCAAAAAATTGCCGTCGTTGCCGCAATAATCCACGGCATTTTGTTCTCTCTCTACGGCAATTGCCGCGATAAAATTCAAGCCCTGAGTCTTACAAACATCCGATCAACTCCGCAGTTGCTAACAGGCCAGCTTTTCAAATATTGACAGCTTGTGTTGATCACATTGGTTCGAATTTTATAGTGTGAACCAGCCTTTCCATTTATATTTTTATTTTTGGAGAACCATGCATGTGTTTAGATTTTTTTAATTGAATTATTTTTAGCTTGTTCCATTGGAGCTTTGCTTACAGATCGAAATATATCTCTGCCAGAGTTGATTTACCAAAATACAACTATTTCACGGAGAGAGGTGAATATAATTAACCAGGGTTTTTTGTCTTGATTTATATTTCTTGAAATTTCATTTTACATTGCCACACCATGCCACATTACGTGTACATATTTATCAAAGAGTTTTCTTGTTAAAATTCTATAACAATGTGCTTACACCTAGTTACACCTTTTTAGCTATTAAATACGGCGTTGGACTTGTGCGATCTCCTATACAGAGAATTCGTTTTTTCTCCAGTAAGTAAAAAGTGTATTTTCACTTTGGTCGTGGTTAGGTCATAGTTAATTAGTTGTGAATAGGTCGCGGATTAATATAGGTTGCTGTTTAATTTGGGTTAGATGGCGGTTTGGTTGTAGTAAATTTATAGTGTCTTGTTGAGGTACCATGGCGAGTAGCTTGAGGTTTAGAGGTTAATCAAGTAACGCTTACATCTAAGTTAAGGCCATACAGTATCACACACAAGGAAATTCTTACTGCAACTTGTAACACAGTTTTGGACATAGAGCGATGTTATCTAAAAAAACAGTCACAGGGAAATCGCATAAGCATTGTATTCAGCTTTGATATTGAGTACCCTCATTCTTTATAATAAATACTATCACTCTATTTCCAGCCTTGTACCTTCTTGGAGACCGCCATAATGGATGCCATTGACAAGTTCATCGCAGCTGAAGTTTTGAATGTCTATGAGGTTTGTATTCTATGATTAATCATTATTTTTATCAGTTGCTTCTTCATGTTACCCCTGCAATGTATAGACTCGTGCCCTGTCACATTTTCCCAAGATCTTTTTGAGTGTTGATGTTTCTTCAGTTTTGCATAACGATCCTAATTTACAATTTTACTGTCTGTATTAACCAGGATACCAGCACGAAGTCACGTGAGAGGCAATGGGCCAATCGGCTTGCAATATCGACAGCATGGTCTGATAATGAAGAAAGCGAAGAGGAGACAGAGATCACTGACCAAGAGTACAAGGTTTGCAGAATTAACGATTGCTCGCATCTTTCAAATGATGAGACCATGCATGTTTCTAACAAAAATAACATTTTTGTGAAGTGCAGCATGCAAATATTTTTCTTTCAGATAAATTCCTCAGATGAAGCTATATGGAAGCTTAAATTTTTCAGGGATATTCTCTCTCCCATTATTGAATCCTATTGGTTTGCTGCTTCAAGTTTGCTCTGCCTTCGGGATGTGCAATACAATGGTAAGTTCACTGAGCTCTTATATATACAACCATTTCAATTAAGGTTGTCCACGAGCAAAGCGGAAAAGTCAAATACGAGCGCGAAAGGCTGCTGGGAATCGCTAACAAATTAATGAAATTTCATAGCGATTCCCAGCAGCTTTTCGCGCTCGTATTCGACTTTTCCGCTTTGCTCGTGGACAACCTTAATTGAAATAGCTGTATATCTAGAGCAAAAACTTCAGTTATTCGGCCTAGGAGAAAAGTGAATCCAAGATGGCGGCCATTGACGCCCAATAGCTCTGAAAGTCGTAAACAGTTTTTATACCATTTATCCCCAGCTGAATGCAGTTTTTTATTAATCTTTGAATTGAAGTCAAAATACGAAATTTCGGCACACTTCTTGCCAAGATGGTGGAAATCGAAGAGCTATAGGACGTTAGTGCCAGTCTCTTTGTATTGTTTTTGTCTGCGCGGTTAACACGAAGCTGACTTTACTTTTTGGACTCAGTTTTCGCTCCTGATATATATGGAGCTCAGCGGGTAAGTTATTTTGCGAGGCACGTCTGCTTAATGCCTTGCATGTGCTAAACATCAGTGCGCTTACATTACGCATGATTTTGATTTCAACGGAGTGAGAAAGATATCATTGACTTTGTATTTCTTATTTGGTTTAGAAAACGATTTTATCAACTTAGTTCATAAGGCGGCAATCTCGAGGGTGACATCAGGAACTGCGTTTTTTGGTAAGTAAAAATTTAATAAGTTATCAAACTTTAGTAACTACATGCGTCATAGATGACTACAACCGTTCTTGTTTGAAATCAGGAACGTGAAATTATTGATTTTCACCTAACCTCTATATAATTGTTTTTCTAGGTGAAAGCTGTTCTGTGGTCTCAATAAGGAACGCTATCAAAGCTTTTATGGATTGCCGCATTCTTCGTCAAGAAACAGCCACAGGTCATTTAATGTTAAACACGAAACAAAATGATATCATCGACTTGATGGCCCGTATAAATAAATATAAAAGATAGCTAAAAATTTCTGAGTATTGAATTATTAATTTAGAGCTTGAAATGTATGCGTGACAGTAATAATGTGCGCTATGGTGACAGCCAACTCTCATCAGGACCTAATTCAGCTTGAGAGCCTGTTCGCAGGCTAATCAGGACCCAAATTGCCAGGAATGATATTCCCCCCCCCCCCCACAGTCCCTTGATTCTTCCTCAAACAATTTAATATGTACTAAATTTGAAGTAACTGAACGCACATTTCAGCCTTTTGAATGATGGTTTTTATGGCACATTAGGAAAATCAGTTAAATAATTCAATATCAGTAAACCTTTTAAGGATTTTGTTAAGTCATAACCAGTGAGCTCCATATATATCTGGAGTAGGAACTTGGTTGCTCAAAGTGAAGCCAGTTTCGTGTTAACCGCGCATACAAAAACAATAGAAAGGGACTGGAACTGACGTCCAACAGCTCCTTCAATTTCCGCCATC